CTCAGGCCATCCACCCCCTTTATGTTCTCCAGGCTAAAGGTTCCCAGTCTTTCCCATTCCTTGTGTGACATCTCTTTGATGTCACAGCTTGGCCACCAGAAGGTCTTTTGGGAACATGCCCATTTACAAGAATCACAGCATCCATGCAACAACCTGCATTGACCCCTAAGGCTAAAAATTTTACTTCTCCTGATTTCTTTTTCCCTTGACCTAGTTTCTTCCAGATCAGACAGGGGTGCCTACGTGTGCTGCAAGGAAGTGTGGATCCCAGGGCCTTGCCAAGGCCTTCGTGAGCCCCGGGATCCCCTGCTCTCCAGAGAGCAGCATCTTGCTGCCAGCCAGGCTTGCAAGCCTCTCCAGGCTGCAAGGCACAGGGACTGCAGAGCCTGTAACCACGTAGCTCCATAAACGCCCTCCCGGGTAGTAAGAATCCACAAGAGCCCTACCAGGGCGGGATGCAGACCTGCCCAGGGCAAACGGGAAAGACGGAGCAGCCTCTCACAGCCTCCGCTGAAACTCCTGTCCTACCCATGACCCCTCCTTCCTCGATCCGCGACCCTCCATGGCTGCCTTGGTTCTTCCTGGTGTTCTCAAACTGGGTAGGGGCACACAGGCTCCCTGGGGAGCTCATTCAACATGGAGACCGGTGACTCCAAGTCAGTAGCTTTGGGCAATCTGTACCTCTCACCAGCACTTCTGATTCTGGTTGCTAGGGGTCTGCTAACTTTCAGAACAAAGGTCATTTTCCTCAGCCCCTTTGTCCACATGCCCAGATGTCTCTCAGTCCCCTGAGCACATTCTAGGTCTTCCCACCCTCTACCTTGACTCACACTGGTGCCCATTGTCACCACAGAGCTATCTAAGATGTCCCCATCCATCAAGAGCAGCTCAAACCTCATCTCCATGAAGCCTTCACTGACCCACCGCTAAACAAAACCTGCCCCTCTGCATTCTGAGCATGCCTCTTCCTCGCTGCTTCCCAGGACTCTGTTTGGTGTGCGTGGTGGTGGAGGTCCAGCAACGGACAGTTCAGAGCATGGGCTCTGAAGACAGATACCTTAGGCCACATCCCCGTCATATAAAAACCCTGGGCAGGTGGTGTTACTACTCTGTGGAGAGCCTGCATCGAGGGGCTGATGGGAGGGCCGCAGAATGAATGCGTGTAAAATGCTAACACGGGGGGCAGGCGCCTGGGGGTGCAGTCTGTTAAGTGTCCGACTCTTGGTTTCAGCTCAGGTCATGATGGCACGGTCGTGAGATCGAGCCCCGTGGGCTCCGTGCTGAGCACAGAGTCTGCTCGAGATTCGCTCTCCCTCTCCCTCTGCCCCTCTCTCCCACTCTCTGTCTCAAATAAATAAATAGATCTTAAAAAAAGAAAAAAAGGTAAAATGCTAACACAGTGCCCAGCATGGAGCAAGTCCCACGTAAATGTTGACCAGGATCATTTCCTTATCCTTCTGACAATCATGTTGAATATTTCATCTCTTTAACTACATTATATGCTCTTTGAAGACGGGGATGGTTTTAATCATCATCTTCATTTCCACCGCACAGGGACAACACATGCCAGAGACTTCCTGTAGAGAAGGTGAGGCTGTCAGAGTCCCCCACCACCCTTGCCTGGGAGCAGGGGGCAGTCCTCGGCAGCCATTCAGTGTGAGGGGAGAAACCAGCCTGCGCACCTTGTCACACACACACCCCGCACCACACACTCAGCTACAGTTGACTGGACTTTTATTCTTCAGAGAATGTGTCCCCATTTAAATTCTCCCCATCCCGGGGTGCCTGGGTGGCTCAGTCGTTAAGCGTCTGCGTTCAGCTCAGGTCATGATCCCAGGGTCCTGGGATCGAGCCCCGCATCGGGCTCCCTGCTCAGCGGGAAGCCTGTTTCTCCCTCTCCCACTCTCCCTGCTTGTGTTCCCTCTCTCACTGTGTCTCTCTCTCTGTCAAATAAATAAAATCTTAAATAAATAAAAAATAACAATAATAAATAATAAATAAATAAATTCATTCTCCCCATCCCTGTGAGGGGCCAGAAGGGTGAAGTAGAAGGCATATTGGAACATGCCTTTTCCCCCAGCCTGTGTCCCCCAACACAAGGGATCAGGCTCGGGGGGCTGGTGGAGGCAGACAGAGCAAGGGGCACAGACCTGGAGGCCCCCCCCACCCCCCCGCCCAATGCTGGCTGTGGATCGGAGCCCACCCTTCTGGTGCGAGTTTGAGCAAGGCTGTTCTGAATTCCTGGCAGGCAGCTGGGACTGAGTGCAGTGTCCCTGCTCCCTCTGCCCAGAGGGTGCTCAGAGCGTTAATTATACCTCCCCTCTGGATCTGTTGGGGGTCCCTAATTACCCTCCTCAGAGAGCAGCCGCTGCTAGATGATTTCCCAAACACCTGCGGTGCTTTCAAAAGCAAAGCCTCCCCTTGGCTGTACTGGACCCTAAAAGGAAGCAAAATGCGCTGGTTGGAGCCATCGCTGAAGAAAGCCCAAAGGCCCCCATGACAGGGTCTAGACAGGAAATCCTGGCCAGCTGCCTCCCAGGAGCACGTCCAGAATCGGCTTCTCACCAGGAACACCAGGGGACAGGGTGGTAGGAGGAAAGGGACCCTTGGGAAAGGGCAGCTCCAGTCTTGCCTCTTATGTGCTGAGAGGAGGCCATGGAGAATTGTGGGAGTGTTGGTTTCCTGTCTCCTCAGAGCAGTGATCCTTTATGACTCACACAATGGTGCACCACATGGAGACCAGGTCTGACGACGGAGGACACGTCCCTCCACATCCAAATGGAGCTGAAACCATCCCCTCCCACTGCAGGCTCTGACAGAAAAGCCATTTAAAGATATCTGTTGAGTCCATCTACTTAACTGATTTGTGAGCCCTTCTGATAAAACTGAGTCTCCACTCCTGGGTATTCTTTAAATATATATATATATATATATATATATATATATTTTTTTTTTTTATTCTAGAAAGTTCTGACTTTCGCCCCATCCACTCCACTGAAACTTTCTGGAATTCAGATCGCCAGTGTCATGTGGTGGGCGCCAGAGCCTCTCTTGCTTGGACACCCAGGGCTCATCTCAGCTGAGGGCAGGACCCCTGCCACTACCTCCTTCCCCATGTCTGCCCTCCCTGCCCCCCCCCAGGAAGGGAGCTTCCTTTTTGTTCTCATCCCCCCTTCTCCAGGGCTTCTCTTGCTCCAGAACCTGACAGAAGACACTGCAACTTCCCAAATTCTCCTCTGCCCTGTGGCTTCTGAAACACATCAGTATGTCCTCCCGTTTTCAAAAGGGCTTGAGGGACAAGTGACCATAAGGAAGCAGCAGGTTCTCGGTTTCCATTCCAAAGTAAGAAAGTGGGTGAAATTTCTCAGCTGCTGTCGTGGCCTGGCCCTCATTTCTGGCCCAGGGGCGGCCTTGCCCATGCAAACATCTTTCTTTTACATTTCAGGCAGGTATTTCAGAAGGAAGCCTCCCTGTGTCCCCATTTCAGTTCTGGGTGCTGCAGCTAGGCAGGTGTTAATGACAGGAGATTCCATCCCATAAAAGACTGCTCGTTTACATATTAGAGAAAACCCCCTTCTGTTGCCTCCCCTCTGGGTGACTCTGCTTTTGTCTTCCTCTGGCAGTCTCAGCCTCTGACTGGGAAATCAATCAAGCCATTCTTTATTTATGACCCGCCCACCCAGAAGTGAACTTCTATGGTTTGGCTTGTGCCTGTAATTTTTTTAAGTTTTTTTTTAAGATCTTATTGATTTAGGCAGAGAGTGTGTGTGCGTGTGAGCAGGGTAGGGGCAGAGGGAGGAGAGAATTTCAAGCAGACTCCACACTGAGTGCAGAGCCCAATGAGGAGCTCGGTTCTATGACCCTAAGATCATGACCTGAGCTGAAATCAACAGTCAGACGTTTAACCGACTGAGCCACCCGGGCGCCCCTAAGATTTTATTTTTTAAATAATCTCTACACCCGACATGGGGCTTGAAGTCACAACCCCGAGATCCAGAGTCGCCATATTCCACCGACTGAGACAGTCCCATAGAGGAAAGGGTACTGCTGTCATAATGCAGAGCTCGGAAGGTTTAAAACACTTAATAAATATTTGCTGAACAAATAGATTCCGGATTAATTGATCAAAAGCTCCAGGTATTTGGGCTTCTTAACTTTTCATCTGCCTGGGTCTGTGATAGTGCCTACATCAGTAAAAAGGGCAATTCAAATGCTAAACGGGGAGTTACATCAGCAGATAATCAAGACCATCCCTAGAATCTTCCACTGCCTCCCTTCAGTCTGAATTGTCTCACCTTGACCTCCCAAGTGGGTCTACCTTCTCTATTTGGAGAGACTGTTCTAGATATCCAAATGGACACCTCCCAGGTTACACTGTTGGGCCAACTTCCCGAATTACATAGAGAACAATTTCCGAGTTGCCTGGCTTTATTTTCCATTCTGTGCTAAACCACTTACATCCCCACCAAATCTTGTAGGGAGGGATTCCGTCCCAGACCACAAATCCTTGAGCAGTGGCTGAAATCAGCTAGGACATCTGTGCCCCCAGAAAGACACTGTGGAGCTCCCAGAATCCTCTGGGCCAACCAGAGCTGCATCCACTCTGCCATTTATGGCTGTTTCCATAACACCCTTCACCTGCATCTGTTACGAAGCTGGCCTTCTGCATTGTCAGCGGGGGCTTGGCGTCTCTGGCATTGTAGCCACGTTAATTCTAATCCTTAGCACCAAAGTAATTGGCTTGATTTCAAATGTATGGCTATTGCTGAGATTCAGCCACTGGATCAATGAAATTCCAGGTTCTCATCACTACTCTGTTGGTGGTGATGAACTTGAGTTTGGCTCCTATGTATCGAGCCCCTAGGCTTCAGGGAAAGCTCCAGAGTGAAAGGATCCCAGACGGGGTGCTGTCTTCAGGTGGAAAGAAACAAGAAGGCACTTGGGGGAGAGGGCATATCTGCGCGTGGCTGACCATCGGAACTGGGGGTTTTGTCTTCCAGGGTTATCTGTCGGAAGGGTTGGTAACCAAGTGGTACCGCTCACCGCGCCTGCTCCTCTCCCCGAACAACTACACCAAAGCCATCGACATGTGGGCCGCCGGCTGCATCCTGGCCGAGATGCTCACGGGGAGGATGCTCTTTGCTGGTAAGTCACTAACCATGCCATCTTCCTTCTCCTCTGGCGTCGTTCTGTAAAACGGGAGAACTGATTGAAAGAAAAAAAAACCCCACAAACAAACCAAAAAACCATGCTAACCACAAAACATCCTAGTCTTTCTCTTTAAAATGACCTGTATGGCTTTATGGACCTACTTGGAGGCCCCTTATCATTTCTGGCAAAATACTGGAAAGGCTAAAAATAGCCTTTTGAGGGCAGAACCTTTGAAATCAAGTAACTACTTCTATTCAGACACCTTGAAATTGACTGCTGGAAACATCCATCCTACCTTTTCAGCCCCTGCCTCTTCTCTCCCTGCCACTGTGAGCAGTCAGTCTGGAGTGTTCATTTGGCGAGGGGACCCCACAAGGGGCTCCCAGAGTCCCTGAACTGACCCTCCATGAGCCCACTCGGGGTGGGGGGGGAGGCCGAAGGGACGGCTTCCGCGCAGAGCCTGAGCCGCGGGCCCCCGCTGGGGCAGCAACACAGCGTTCGCATCGCTCGGTGCTCCGCCAGGTGTCGCTGGGGGACACGGAGGAGCCCCAGCATAGACCGCCGGCTTCTGGCAGATTGGAATCCTGTAGGAATCGGTGGTAAGCGGGGGGCACTTCTGGGGACTTCTCAAAGATAGAAAGTCTTGGTTAAGGATTTAAACTGGTAGAAGTAAGTGGAAAGGTTACTCAGGCAAAAAGGGAAAATGGAAGCAATGGGAGTTAAGAACAGCCTGAGGGTCGGGGGTGGGGGGGGACAGCGAGGAGAGAGACCTGACCCCCGCCAGCAGCGCCACAGCGCTGAGGGAGCGTCAGGGCGGCAAAGACGAGTTGTGTTTCTGAGACTCATAAAGACTGAAGCTTCTTATGGCTGAGCATCCAGCCCGAGGCCTGGCAGGGAGAAGGTGCTCAGTAAGCCATTATTTAGTTGAGGGAATGAAGGAGCAAAGGAGAATAAACGCCTGACTCCATCCTGTCCCCAGCACACTTCTCCCACGGACCTGGCAAAGCCTGTCCCATTAGCTCCGGCTGACTCAGTCTATGTCAGACGGGTCCATTCCAGAGGCAGAGACATTTGACAAAGCCAAGCCCCAGAGATGGCAAGCAACCTGCTTATAGTCACAGAGCAAGTTAGTGGCCGAGTGAGGACCAGAACCCAGGTCCCCTGGCCCCCAGTGCTGCTCCCAACGGCAGGCGCCGTCCCTCCCCGGCCTCCCGGAACCACACTGAGGCTTCCGTCACCCCAGTCACTTGGGCAACACACTTAACCATCTGGTGTTTGGCTCCCCAGGGGCTCACGAGCTGGAGCAGATGCAGCTCATCCTAGAGACCATCCCTGTGATCCGGGAGGAGGACAAAGATGAGCTGCTCAGGGTGATGCCTTCCTTCGTCAGCAGCAGCTGGGAGGTGAAGAGGCCTCTGCGCAAGCTGCTCCCCGAAGTGAACAGCGAAGGTACCTTGGCCTACAGCGTGGCCAGCCTCCAGGAGGCTGCGCTCTGGCTTCGCCCTGGGGGGCCGGGCGGGTGGTCTCCTTCCAGAACGACCAAGCCTAGTTCTAGACAGAGAGGCCAAGGCCGCGCCACTGTGGCGGGAATTTGCCCGCGCTACTTCCAGACTGAGCGTCATTGGCTCCCAGAGTTCGGCCGTCAGGCAACTCTCAAGGCTATGTTCGGCGGTCCTCCAGGGTCTCCGCCCGGCTTTGCTTCCTTCTTCTTCTCGTCCTTCTCACTTGCGTTCCCCCTCTCCCTCGTCTCCCTCTCCCTCATTCCCCTTGATGATGTGGTGCAGAGAACGTGGGTTTTACGAGCTTGAGACCCAGACCGAGACTCAATTCCCAGGTGCGTTGGGAGTAGCTGTTTGGCCTTGAGCAAGTTTCCTAACCTCTCTGCATCTCAGTTTCCTTAACTGTAAAAGGGGTACAGTAATTCCTGTCACATGGGGACATCGTGACGGGTAAGTAAAATAGAATGTGTAAAGCCCCGGGCAGAGGACAGTTGCTCCATCATTTTAAATGTTAACATTAGGGGCGCCTGGGTGGCTCAGTCGGTTAAGCGTCTGCCTTCGGCTCAGGTCATGATCTCGGGGTCCTGAGATCGAGCCCCTTGTCAGCCTCTGTGCTCAGCGGGGAGCCTGCTTCTCCCTCTCCCTCTGCCCCACTCCCTGCTCATGCTTTGCCTCTCTCTCAAATAAACAAATAAAATCTTTAAATAAAACGCTAGCATTATCACTGGGCCTCCTACCTACCAGAGGCTTCCTTAGGAGACCCCTACCTATGTTAGGTAGGATACAGGTTCAGCCAGTTGGAAGAGACACCCAAATTCTTAGTGGCTTAAATAAGATTTCTTATTTAAGAAAAAAGAAGTTAAGAAGCGTATTTCTCTCTTCTATCATAATCACAAAGCAGACAGTCCAGGGCCAAGACAGTGAGCCTGCTGTACAAAGTCATCCAGGGGCCCAGGCCCCTTCCATCTTGTTCAACCGTCCTTGGGTACTGCCCTTACTACCTGGAGGAAGGTGGGGAAGGAGGGCAGGTCCGCTTGCCCTTAAGGTCACGAGCTGGAATTTGGACACCTCCCCTCCACTCGTGTTTTATTGACCAGAACTTAGTCCCGAGGCCCCAGCTCACTGCAGTGGAGGTGGTGAAATAGGTATTTATTCCCCACCACTTGGTGTCCATTATTACGAATGAGACCATCAGGAAACAAGAACTTGGACCACCACTGTCTTCTAACGATACCCTTGGCCATGATCCCCACTCAATCATAATTTGCCTCAGTTTTCTCTTCATTAAAGAGGAGGAGGGATCATTTCATTCACCACAAATTAAGACTCAGCCCGTCTATATTTGTGTCCTAGGGCCCTGTAGAAATCCCACCGCGAGACAAGAGGTGCATGCACCTCTCAGGAATTCTGGGTCAGGGACGTGTCACCCCCTCCCCTCCCCAAAGCAACCACACACACAGCAGCCCCTTGGTGCCTTGGCTGTCAGAGTGGTGGGCTGTTTCTCAGCAAAATCAGAGTTGGTCCCGATAGGAGATGGAGCTCCTCACTGTCGCCAGCAGCATCCCCCGACGTGTATTAAGCCACCACAGTGCTAGAGGTGGGAGTTCAGAGACAGGAGAGGTGCACTCGCTGGGAAGATGCTGAGAACAAAGACTGAGGAACACATCCTAAGGGGCCAGCAAGGGCCCCGGGTATTTGGGGGAGAGGAGGGGAGCAGGGAGGGGCAGAGAAGCTGGCCAGGGGGACACGGAGGCCCGGATCAGCAGGACGAGTCACAGACCTGTTGGTAGGAAGGGAGGCTGGAGAGGTGAGAAAGGCCGAGAGGCCAGTGAGTTTGGCCTTGAACCTGTAGCTGAACAGGTGTTCACTAAAGCCCGGCTTGCTCCACTCTCCCGATGTACCAAAACTCAACTCCAGCCAAAACTCAACTCCAACCAAAACTCTCTCGCCGGCTTCTGGCCTTGAAAAGAGGTCTCCAGCTGACCTCTGGCTTTAGGAGAATGAGGGGTCCCAGGAATGAAATATGGATGGGGGGAGGGCACCAAGCCCACCCACCCAGGAGAGCCGGCTGCTGACCCACGCTCCCTCCCTCTCCTGCACATCAGAGGCCCCGCAGGCCTGGGAAGAGGCAGAATGTCTCTCTGGCCGAAGCCCCCGGAGGCTCAAAGGGCAGCCTGGGTGACTGTCCCTCAGCAGCTGACGCAGCCGTCGGAGCAAGACAAGGGGGACAAGCCCCGAGACCATCATATCAAGGCCTCACTTCTGAGCTCCATTTAATCTACGAAGGAAATGTGTCACAAGTAACAAATCTGACGAGGAAACCTAATAGGGAAACAAGTCAAAATGAGTGCTCTGGGTGAAGCAGGGTTGGGGACCTCGGGGCTCACCTGCCTCTCAGTCTCCAGAGATGCCCCTGAGGATCCTTCCAGAACCCCAGGGGCTCGGGAAAGTCCCGTTTGAGTTCACTGGGCCACAGGAAGGTGACAGGATGGTACGGAAGTCTCATTATATTAGAAATGCCTTCAGAACATGTGGGGAGGTTGAGCCCAGAGAAGAGGATTTGGGGGGTGGGGAGGGTATGGTGGTTTCTGTGTTGAGAAGAACAAAGCTAGTGCCATGGCAGATAAATCTGGAACCTCCAGGGTGACCCTCCTAGCAGTGTACGCACGGCTCACCTCCAGTCCAGACAGAGTCGGGGAGCCTGGGGCTCTCCCAGGACCCAGCTTGTCAGAGAAGTGTCTGCCATCTTCAACACACAGCTTTCCGGGTCACCCTTGGACACCCACTTCCGGCTGAAGACAGGGGAAGAGAGGGCAGAGACTCTTGCAGGAGGCTTTTATGCATCCAGCCTGGAAGTGGGGTCCACACATCATTTCCTCCCCTGCCCGCCAGGCCCCAGTCACACAGCACATCGAACTGCAGGAGGCACTGGGAGATGCAGGCCAGTGCACAGGACCTGGCTGCTCGCTGCTCCCTTGAAACCTGAGGGGACCAATCCTGGGGAAGAGAGAACATGCCGACATGGGGGAACCCGCAGAGGGCAGAGCTAGGCCCCGGGGGTAGAGGTTAAAGGGGGTAGATTTAGGTTAGAGACAAGAAGGGATTTTCTAATATTTGGGCTTCTGGAAGTGTCTGGCACCTGCTAGAAGACCAGCTGTCAGGAAGGGGAAAGAGGAGACTCGTTTTTACTAGAGTCAGTGGGGTAGACTTTGGGGTTGGCACTTTCCAACTTCAGGGTTCGCTGGGTCTTTGTTAAAAATAGTGATGCTGGTGATGATGCCTGCCCACGTTTAGAGCTTCAACTCTCTCCTGTCCTTGTCAGAAGGTCCAGAGTAATAAGCTGGGCCGAGGGAGGGCGGCAGCCCAAATCGGGCAAGGCTTGCCCAGCCTGGAGCCAGACAGGGCCAGAGCGGGCTGTGCACTGCGGAGCCCGATTCTTCCCGGCCCTGCCCATCTGTGAGGCTCTTTCAGGTCTCCAGCCCTGACCCAGAGGCACCCCCTGAGCCTCGGAGCTCCTGCTGCTTTATGGATCCTTCAGTCTAGGCATACAGACCAGCACCACATCCTCCTGGGGGGCCGTGACCTTCTAAATCTGTCAATTTCCTGAATCATTGTTGAATCTTCCTGCAAAGAGACCCAGGGCTGGTGTGAGGGGCAGGGTCATGGTTGTGCCCTGAGGCTCTTGAGCTCAGCGGCCTTTCTCCCTTGCCACATGGGAGGTAACACGATTAGCCAAGTCGTGATTTAAGTGGGGCCTCCAGCACTGAGACATAATGCAAACCTCCAGGCTAGACCTTGCCCTGAGATAACCCAGGGCAGAGCCCACAAGGCAGATGGCTGCCCCTACCCCCACTTGGGAGAAGGGACACCAGTTCCGTGTGCAGAGCTGATCTGTAGCCAGTGCGCACCCACACAGCCCGATTGGCTGCCGAAATTTCGATATGCTTTCATGCAGGTTGGCAACCAGCCACCACACAGAGCTTCAGAGTGTCCCTTCCTGTCTCCAGGTTCCAGCTGCCTAGGACCTCCCCTTGATCTAGACCCTAGTCCCCAGGAGGGCTTCAGCTTGGTGGTTAAATATTTTAATATCAAGCCCACCTGCCCTTGTTTGTCAAACCTCCAGGAGCAACCTCTGGAAGGAAGGCTGGACTCGGGAGCCCTGGGCTAACAGGCCGTGTCCCACCTGCCTCACCTTTCAGTGACCTGCCTCACAGGCTCCTCCACCCACCCCAGCAGCACGCAATCCGCAACAAGTGGGAGTGGGTGTAGAGACACCTCGGCTCCCCCCCGGCCCCACAAATGGAGTCACCTCTGAGGTGTGTCCCATGCTCTCTTCTAGAGGATGCCTCCCCACCCCCCAGTGGGACCAACCTCCAGGTGCCCCCAGGAGGAACCTGCTCATGTGCACATCCCGTACTGGCTTCTTCCCCCCTCCCCTGCCTTTGCTTCCGGGGATGGTCACCACACAGACTACCTGCAGCCCAGTCCCTGTCCCTGGAGAAATCCAGCCTAAGGCAGACTTCTAGCCCTGCACCTGCTCTTAACCAGCGGCAACTCGAGCAAGTCACTTTACCCCGCTGGGCCTCTGTTTATTCATTTGTGAAGTCAAAAAAGCAGTATCTGCTCTGAGTTCGTCACTGGATTGTGGTGAGGGTCACAAGAAAGGAGAATGGCTAAAAACCTTTTTACAAATGGGAAAGTACAAAAAAAATGTCTCTGCTAGGCAGGGCAGTGAATGACTTTCATGTCCTGTTTTGCTCCCCGCAGCCATCGACTTTCTAGAGAAGATCCTGACCTTTAACCCCATGGATCGCCTAACAGCAGAGATGGGGCTGCAGCACCCCTACATGAGCCCATACTCATGCCCGGAGGACGAGCCCACCTCACAGCACCCCTTCCGCATTGAAGATGAGATCGACGACATCCTGCTGATGGCCGCCAACCAGAGCCAGCTCTCCAACTGGGACAGGTGCGGTTCCAGGAGCCCCCAGCCCTGGAGTCTAGAACTCACGTTCTCATCCTCCCATTTCTGTTTTGCCTCTGATCCTCTATCTCCCAAGCTCCATAGCCCATGGGGTGCTTTCCCGCACTTAGCTTCCTGCCTTTCTCTCTTGTCCCCAGGCACTCCCAGTAGATGAGCATGTGTGGGTCAGGGGCCTTCCTTTGTGCGACACAGCCACTACCCCTTTCCTCCCCACCCTCCATATACTAGAGCCAGGGTTCAATACATTGTTCAGCGACATTTAAAGAGTACCCATCACTGGAACTCACTTCTAGCAGACTGGGAATCTGCCCGAGAAAAGTAGACTGTGCCAGTGCACAACAAGGAGACAACGTGACGTTTATTCCCGCATAACACTTTCCCAGAGTCCTCATCGTTGGCACCTCCCAAGAGTGCCATTAAGGGGGGGGGGGGTGCCATTATCATTACTGCCCAGTGACACATGATGGAGCCACAGCTCAGAGAGGGTAGAGACTAGCATTTCGCCACACGGCTAATGCCTGCCTCATGCGGGGCCTCCTTGATCTGCATCTATGTCAGACGCTGCTGAGCAATCACAGGACTCTTGCCTGCTAAACCGGCCCGGGCCTCCAAATCCTTCCCCACACAGTGTGCCCGGAAGTCACTACCAGTGATTCAGTGTTGGGTAGAACACACATTTTTTTAACAAATCTCTGTGTAGGCATGTTAGGATTTTTCGGGTCCCTTCCTATTCTGATGTTGAGATCAGGCAGCTAAACATTTGGGCATCACCATCTGCTAATCCGGGGAGGGAGAGCCGAGAGCGGCTCAGTTTAGAAATAGAAGTCAAGGGCTTAGCAGCTAGGACTCCGAGGGGGCCTAAGTGGGAGCCCCGCTGCTGTGGGAAGGTGACAGCTAGTTACATAAGTGACAGATGAGCAAGTTCTCCTTGTCAGTCATTTGGCAGATGATAGGTTTCAGAGTGAGGAGGCATGGAGGGAGGGCCAGGGCAGCGCTCTGCTATTTTCGGACAGGTTTGTGGGTTTGTTGTCGTCGATTGTTGTTATCAAGAGGTGCCAGCAAATAGAGATTAATGAAGACTCTTCCTTCTGCCGCCCCCGTGCTTTTCCCGCCCTTGACTGTGGTCCCTGTCGCCCCTCCCCCTCTGCTCCATGGCGCTTGAGGGCACAGAGCGCTGGCCCCGAGAGGCCCATCCCATGCTTGTCATGGCTGTGGTGCAGGGCTGGGGCCAGGAAAACTGTCGCAGGGTTTCTTTGGCCACTGCCCACCAACTCTGACCATTTCTAAACCTGACACGGTTCTGCTTCTGACTTTCCCATCATCCCTGCATGAAGGAGATGGGCAGTCCATGGGCAGACTCCTTCCTACAGGCCCCCCCCTGCCTTGGGCAAATGGCTTAACCTTGGATGAGCACCAGCATCCTCCTCTGTAAGGCAGCGTGATCATCCTAACTCCACAGAGTCTCTGTGAAGACTTCAGAGAACCAATGTTTGGCCCTCGGTGTGTAGCAGCCAGGGATTAGGGTCTTTGCAAGTTCTTCCTCCTAGAAATCTCTGCGATTTTTAGGACCCTTGTGGGAGGAGGCGGTGTTCGCTCTGGGGGGTGACTCCTGCCCTCATGGTGTCACTGGGCAGTGGGCAGGCAGTCCTGGGGCCTCCCTGTGCCACGCAAACCACATCGTGTGGACCGCTCTGGGCGCCTGCCCTTTCACAGCCAAACCTGCCTGTCCTAGGTGCGTTGGCTTTTCCCATGCGAGCACGAGGCATCCTGTACCATGAGCAGCTGGTTGTTGGCTCCCTCCACACGGTTCTGCATAGAGCACCTGGCACAGGGAGGAGAGGGCCCAGCTCGAGCTGATGGCCTGCACACCTGCCCTTCATTTGCTCTTGGCTGGCTGACTTTGCTCTCCCTGACTGCAGGGCAGTTGACAGAAGGCAGAATTCCAAGGATCTTTGGCCTCTCCTGAGGGTGTCTAGAATCTTTCCACCTACACTGCATTGATGCAGGGTGCTGGGGGGCGGGGGGCATCTAACCAGACCCACTAAGGCAAGAGATCTTAGCCCTGACTGTACCTTAGCATCACCTGGGGATGTGTTAAAACCGTGCTGATGCAGAGCCCCAGTCGAGACCTACTGAATCAGGATGTGGGGTGATTCTAATCTGAACCAGGCCTGAGGAGCACTCATAAGGGCCCTGCTACTCAAAGTGTGGTCCCTGGACCAGCAGTATCAGCATCACCTGGGAGCTTGCTAGAAACACAGAATCTCTGGCCCCACCTCAGAGCTACTGGATCAAGAGCTGCTACTCAGCAAGGGCCCCCGGCGATTTGCGTGCAGGTCAGAGTTTGAGGAGCACTGCACTGGTGGGATCCGTTTGAAAGGAGGTTCCAGGAGGACAGGGGCTTTGTTGTTTTGTTCACTGCCGTGCCTGGCAATGCCAGCGCCTGGTACACAGTAAGGTGCTCAAGAAACACCTGCAGGGTATTGAATGAGTACAGAAGAATACAAGGGTTAAGCCAAAAACATCAGTCCCTTCACCGGACCCCGGGGGAGGGCGGGGGCGGTCACAGGACCAGAGGGACAGGGAAGGAACGGAAAGCCAGTCTGTGCGTGGCAGACAGGGATGAGGGGGCTTGGCTCCCCCGGGGAAGGCAACTCATCCGGGGGTCCAGTCACCCACCATTCCGTCTGTCTGCACCCTCGCAGGTACCCTGTGAGCCTGTCATCGGACCTGGAGTGGAGGCCGGACCGGTGCCAGGACACGAGCGAGGTGCAGCGCGACCCACGCGCGGGCTCGGCGCCCCTGGCGGAGGACGTGCAGGTGGACCCGCGCAAGGACTCGCAGGGCAGCTCGGAGCGCTTCCTGGAGCGCTCGCACTCGTCCATGGAGCGCGCCTTCGAGGCCGACTACGGGCGCTCCTGCGACTACAAGGTCGGCTCGCCTTCCTACCTGGACAAGCTGCTGTGGCGCGACAGCAAGCCGCACCACTACTCAGAGCCCAAGCTCATCCTGGACCTGTCGCACTGGAAGCAGGCGGCCGGGGCTCCCCCGAGCTCCGGGGTGGCCGCCGACGCCGGGCCGCGTGAGGACGAGCCGGCCAGCCTCTTCCTGGAGATCGCGCAGTGGGTCAAGAGCACGCAGGGCGGCCCCGAGCACGCCAGCCCGCCCCCCGACAGCCCCGAGCGCCGCCTGTCTGCCTCTCCGCCCGGCCGCCCGGCCTCCATCGACGGGGGCGCCAGCCCCCAGTTCGACCTGGACATGTTCATCTCCCGCGCCCTGAAGCTCTGCACCAAGCCCGAAGACCTGCCGGACAATAAACTGGGTGACCTCAACGGCGCGTGCATCCCTGAGCACCCCGGCGATCTCGTGCAGACCGAGGCCTTCTCCAAAGAAAGGTGGTGAGGGAGAGGGGGGAGCTCCAGGCCCCCTAAGCGGAGGCCACCCAGGGAAGCCGGGCCTGGCAGGAAGGGGCTGGCCGCCCTCCACCCCGTACCTCCACCGCCCGTTCACCCGTCTCTGCTGCCTTGGGGTTAGCAAAACACAGGAAGGATCCGAGGAGGGAGAGGAATGTCCATTTCTTAAACTGCCTTAATAACTAGCCTTTAACCTCTGGGAGCAGGTTTGAACAGGAGCCTAGTTTGGGGGTTGATCACTTTCCCAGCGAAGAGGGGGCCCTTGCGTTTTACAGGTGGCGATGTGCAGGGGAGCACAGTGTCTTAGACAGCAGTCTGCAAGCCCTCCCACCTGGCTAGGTGCAGAGGAACCTTGCTGGCATGGTGTTGAAACCATCCGGCCTCACTGACAGTGAGGCCCCCAGAAGCCAAGTGATGTGCTTACCACCAGGGAGAGGCTTGAAGCCCAGTCTCCTAGGCCAGTGTCTGTCCCCTCTAAACTGTCTTCCTCTGCTGGGGTCCCTGTGGCTTTCCAATTCGAAAACGGTCCAGGATGTTTCTTCCCTGCCCATCACCATCTGACCTATCCCATCTTTTGTTCAGAGCAATGTTGCTTATAATCCAAAATGGGAAACTGAGCCAGTTTTACCCCACTGACCAACCAGATATTTTCTGGTCCCTCAAGTACTTCAGTAGTTCCACCTGCCACACCCCTGTGTGGTCTGAACACCTTGGCTCACACCAGTTTGGGATCTGTGGGTCCAAGAACTCATCTTCCAGGCCTGGGCACACACCTCCTCCAGAACTCCCTATGCACTTTCCTGGGTCATGGCCCCAGTTCCCCAGGGGATGTTGTGCACAGGTGAGTTTGAAGACAGCAGTTCCAGTAACGCCTCCAGCCCAACACCCAGCCACATACACGAAACCCACCCGCAGACACATAGAACTCTTCTCCCAGCCTACCCCGGGAACTAATGTTCTTGGCACGAATTGCTCATTTGGAGTAAACAAGGCCACGAGGTGCCCGCCACAGAACAAATGTGTTAGGAGAGATTTCACACGGGACCTATCGTGCTTCGTGAATACTGACCTTGATTTTGATAACCATTTAGCCCTGGCAAAGAGCTGTCCCTAAAGAAAGGCATGGAAAGCCAGTGGCCTTAGGGGCAAGGAACCCAGCAATGTAGGAAGATGGGAAAGGCAGGGTGCCGACCACAAAAGTCCTCAGGGGTCAGGCACCAGCGTAGAGACCCCAGGACACAGGAAGGGCTTCCAAGCAGCCACGCCCCTCATAACTTCAGTCTGAGTTAGAGCAGGCACACCAAAGGTGTCCTCGCACACAGAGCCTGGGGTGATGGTGTGTGGGCACAGCAAGCCCTCTGCGGAAGCATAGTCCATCCCCTGGAATGCTCCGCCATTCCCACTATTGGTATTCTGCTCCCCCCTGCACCCCCAAAGATAGCCATGGGAGGTCTAGCCAGCCTGTAAACAGAGGACTCCCCAGCATTGGCCTTGGGCTGTGTTCACCCTCACCTTGACAGCACCTTAAACCTATCAGCTAACTAAGAGTTGTACATTAAAACCTGCAACACATTAGAAACTTATATTTAAAAAGAATTAATCACACTGACCATAATTTTTAATGGAAAATATGTAAATATGAAGTGTTTGAGTTTTTTTTTTCTTTTTCTTTTTCTTTTTTTAAAGAAAAGGAACTATCCACCGCTCCTCATGTGCCATTTGTCCTCAGAGGGCGGCTTTACTTTTTTGGTAAAGGACCAAGCTGCTGACCTTGACCAGGAGTTCATATATAATTGTTGTTATAGAGGAATTGTTATAACTACTCATGTTTTCAAAAGATCTATTAAACTTGATCAGGACGGGCCAAATAAAGTTTTATTGGAACACAGATTCCTTTATTCATTTAAGTATGCTCTCATTCATTTACGTATTATGGGCAGCGGTCTTGGGCAGCGGTTGATTCATTGGAGCCTGGCTGGCTTCTCCCTGCATCCCTGAAGCCAGGGTTTTGAGGGGTTGCAGTCAGTCGGAGGGGAGGGGAGGGGAGCGGAGAATCTATATGGATTGGTAGTCAGGGAAGTGATTCCAGAACCACCTGAGTCGGGCGTGGTGTCCATCCTATAAATTTCAAACCAGGTCTCGGAGTTAACTCCAATCCTTCTGAGGAAGGCTGAGCCAAAGGTGGCACCAGTCCTAAAGGGGCCAACGTCATGAGATTTGGGGGAGCCAACACCCACAAATGCCTGCCCGAGCCACACTTCACAGGTGCCCAAGAGTCCCCTCAACTGAAGTTCACCCTTTTGTAAGACCCGTCAGGCGCCTCTGAGCCCCGTGCTCAAGGGTCAACTCTACATCCATTCATTCACAAATTGATCCTGTCTCCTGTCTTCTACTCCCAACACTTCTGACACTTAACTGTGAGTTTTCCACGCCAGACAGTTCTCCAGTTCTCCGCAGACTGACGTTGGACGTGGTGTTCCACCCGTCCAGACAGCTGCTGCCCAGCATGGGGCCTGATCTGTGCAGTAAGGAAAGTAGGATGGGGCACTGGCTTAGTTTCCTTCAGAGGCAAATCCTGAGACAAAAAATCAAGTGCAAGTAATTGGGGAGTGGGAGGAATGAGCTCAGACGACACTGCTAGAGGGATAGGGAAATGAGGGGGAAGGGAAGGAAGCGGTCGGTCAAGGTGCGAGTCACCACTGTGGGAAGGCCGAAGCGTGTGAATGACAAGCTTGTGGCTAAGAGCAAACCTCTTCAACAATTGCTTCACTTCTGGTCTCCCAGAGCAGCTAGCAAGTGAACCATAAATGGTTTACATCTTCTCCATCTGAATTCATGGGCTCAGTACTAAGAGTTGTAAATGACTGAGAAATGCCTTTGCGGAAACAGACACTGGGAGCCATGTTGAGTTGGTTCATGCCGTTGGCATGGTATCAAACGTGGTTGTGGGGTTTCCAACATCCATCACCGTCTCAACTTGGTTCCCTCAAATCAGTCCCTGAGATGGGGGTTCCTCAGCAGGTGATTGATGGAAGGAATGCCCTAAGCAGAGGGGGAGGACGGGAAGCGGACTGGGGAAGGCTGGGGAAGAATGCTCAGCCAGCGTGTGGCCCGGGTACAGGCCAGCTGCAGCCTGACGCCACCGAGAGCTCGGGAGCCTGAATTGCACCAGGGAGTTGATGCCTCCTTGAGGAAAAGCCGACAGCCTTTGTGGCCCCATGTCAGCTAGTCACTGGTGGCCGTCAGGGCGGTGGAGGGACAGAGTGCATTCAGCCAAAGCCAGTTCTCCTAGGAGCAGCTGTGAGCCACTCGGCAGCCAAAACCCAGAGCAGCTGGGCAATGGGTCCACTCACCTCACCTGCTGAAGGGCATCTGGGCAGGGTACCATCGGCATTGCAGGACAGTGTGCTAGGCACTATGGGGGTAAAGGGGGTAGAAGAAAGACCTGCCCCAGCAGATCTTAATGGTTTGGGTGGATAAATGGGGCAAATATATAAAACGTCTGAGGAGGAAATCAGAGACCGCCACAGTTACCCCCCTAGGGAGCCCTCCAGGGCCCAGTTCCAGCCCTTTCCTTATTAATTTCCTGCCATTAACACTCCCCAAAGTCACTTCTCCACCACTGCTCCCCACAACAGAGTTCTCAGTCAAGTAACTGTTCGGAAGGGGGTCCCCAAGACCATCCTCCAGCCTCAATAATTCACTAGAAGGACTCACAGGACTCAGAAGAGCTGTCACACTCACAGTTATGGTTTATTACAGTGAAAGAATACAGATCAAATCAGCAAAGGGAAAAGGGGGGCAGCCAAACTCCAGGAGAAACCAGGCACAAGATCTCAGGAGTCCCCTCCCTAGGAAGTTCCACGGGGACGTACTAATTCTCCCAGCAACAACATGTGACAACCAGGGGGTATCACCCCAGCCTCGGCAGCCAGGATTTTTATTAAGGATCAGGTCAGTTGGGGGCGCCTGGGTGGCTCAGATGGTTGAGCAAATGCCTTCGGCTCAGGTTGTGGTCCCAGGGTCCTGGGATCGAGTCTCACATCCCTCTGCCTCTCTCTCTCTCTCTCTCATGAATAAATAAATAAAATCTTTAAAAAAAAAAAAAGGATCAGGTCAGTTGGGTAGGACCGTGTGACTAATATGAGCTACTATGTGTCCAGCACCCCACTCCAGGTCAAACCGAGACAGTATGGCCTTGGCCTCAGTTGTACAAAAACACTCTTCTCAGGAGAATCCAAAGGCTCAGGAATCGTTCCCAGAAGCCGGTCAAGGGCCAGTCCTTCTGAAGTTAGGCCTTCCTTCGGAATGTACAAGGTTTGAGAAACAGGGACCTGGGAAGTTAACCCTCTACTACATGGTGAATATATTTGTGACATCGGACTATCTGTGCCTCCTGCAATTCTAAAGTTGTGTGAGAGTCTGTTTTATGTCAACATTTACAGCCAAGCTGAAGCAACACAGCAATGTACCATGGAAATCTTAAGAATATGCAGCACTATTAAAACATAACAATAAAAACATGCATGCTGAGGCAGGTGTTAGGCAATCTAACACCTGAGATCCCTTTCCTCAGTAAATCATGGCCCGCTCACAAGAGCCAAGCCTGCTGACAGATCTGCAAACTAACTAACCGCTCATTCTGTCAGCGTGGTTATTACCACTGGTGTAATTGTGCCGCAAGCATGACGGGCTGCTTTAGGAAGTCATTACCAGAAACCCACCCCCCTTCGGAGGTGCAGCTTCCTGAGGAATGGCCACATGAAGCAAGAAACAAGACTGGGAACTGAGGATGTCAACAGTTAGGCTGAGCCATACCCAGCTCCAACCTTCAGAAGATGGTTTTCGGGGGTGGGGGCGGTCCCTCCAAGAGGTGAGAAGGAAGGAAAAGACCCAGTCCTCACATATGGACTCCTACTAGATATGATTAGAGGATATGATGGTTTCTTTAATATTCCAACCTGATTGGACCAAGGTGCCCGGATATTT